ATTCGTAGGGTAGGTTAGAACGAGAACTAGAGTAGTGTCCTTGGAAAAGTCTTGGAAACAGGATTGGACACACACACACACATTTTCACATCGATTCCCAGTCAACAGAGGTGAGTCAAAAGAGCATGAGTTCCAACAGGGCGTAAACCACTCTGTTTCATCCATCTGCGTCACTGCGCCTTCTTGGAATAACAGCAAATCATCTTTCCCAGGCGACTTCGGAGATCCTTCAGATCGGTCGCCAGCGCCAGAATCGCCATGATCTCCTGATCTCCGATTCCGACGTGATGGCGAGATGGAGACTCAGAGATGCCAAGTGACCAAGGCAAGTGACCAGCAAAACAACAACACACCATCCATCCGTGTGGCCTCTTTCCGACAAAACACCCACAGGGATGGTGGAACTCCCTCCAGCTCTCCAGCTCGACGTGGAACGAAGGAACGGCGTCCTTTCCTTTTGGTTTCTTCCGACGTCCCAGAACGCCCCACGTGTCGCGTGTCGCGTGCTCTCGCGTTTGTCGCCGTGCTCTCCGAGCTCACGGTGATGCCGTAGGAGGAGGTGCGCTTCATCTGCTCGTTCTTCTTCTTGGAGAACTCAGAGGGACTTAAGCCAATCTCCACCTTGCGGAGGTACTTGTCACCTCGCACAGCTGTAGAGTGTAATAAAGCACTCGGACTAGGACAGAATTGGCCGGGGTCCTGATATATATGTTTTTGATATGAGCTCAGGCTCAAGGACGTGGAGGCAAGGACGTGGCTTTCCAAGAAGCCAATGCAAAAAGGAAGGCATCTATGGCAATTGACAGAGCACGTGGTGCCCTTCGGCCAAGACACTGCAGTCTGTCACACGTTTCCAGGTAATGGTGTCTGGATCGATGTCCAAAATGCAGAATTTCTCGATTTCCTCCTGGAGTCACAGCAAGCAGCACAGCCATGCACAGCCGAAGGACCAGCAATGGCTGGCAACAAAAAGCTCTGCTCCCGTTCGCTCGCTTCATGCTCTCGCTCGCTCGCTCGCTCGCTCGCTCCTCAGTGAGCAAATCTGGATTCTCTTTCTTATGACCCAAGCCAAGCTTTTCGAGCCGCGCGTACATGGTGGGCTCAAACTCCCGCTTCCCGTTCTTGTCCACCGGACAGAGTCGATTCCAAATCCCCTTGGCCGAGGAGCTGTTCCTGAGCGCGCCACACACGGCACCTCTCCAAGGTCCGCGGTGCGGAGAGGTCCGGGTGTAATGCCAACCCGCCGTTTGCCTTGAACGGTCTGAATCCCAAGCAACCGTTGTACTAACCAAATGACACTAGAAAACCAGGAGAATCATTTTGAACCTAGTGGAAGACTAAGGTCCAAAAAGTGGCCAATTTCGATGATTCTGAAGCCAACCGCCTTGCGGCACCCTTTCGTTGTGGTGAACCCAATCACAGGTAAGACGGTAATGAAAGAGGGAGCAGGTGAAACAAAGGGCTTGATCCAGCCAGATCAACTTCTCTGGTGTCAATGGCTGTGAACTGCCAAAGGTGCTCATCTGCCCAACTCTCCATACCCAAAACCGAGCTGCTCATGATAGTAGCGTGTGTCGATGGCCGCGGCAAATAAGTTGTGTGCCGCCGTAATCGCGTGAATGTCACCCGTCATGTGCAGGTTAAAGTCCTCCACCGACGACGAAGGCGGCGCTTCTTGGCCGGCGCGGGTCGATACACCGCTGAGGACGAGGGGCAAGTGGGTCCAAGAGGGTCGTGAAGTGGTGCCGGCAATTGGGCGACTCGTTAAACTCCACATGTTTGTTTTGGGATGCACCGCTGAGGACGACCTTGGGGGCAAAGTGGGGAAGTGAAGTGGTGCCACTTAGTCGCTTTGTTTGGGGGCTCCGAGCTTGGCCAAACCGCCCATTCCGGCCCTCCCGGCCCGGAGTTCATCCGCTCAGTTCATCCGCTCTCTCCTCCATGGGAAAGCACTGCGCATAGCCTCCGCCCGCCGCTCCGCCCTTGATGCCAAAGGTGGGGCCCATCGAGGGTTGCCGGATGTTGGTGAGGACCTGAAACCAAGCCATCGTCGTTTCGGCCGGCACGGCGAACCATTCGTGTCAAGCCACGACGTCTTGGAGGTGACTGGGCTTAAGACTGATGGAGTCCAATCGGATGGTCAAAGACGTGGCAAGAACACTGACTACGGCCTTGCAAGGCTTTGGAATTGGACTCTCTTTGCTATAAGAACATATTTTAGGAACAGGATCACTTCCACAAACTCCCAGGCTCACAGGTGGTGCTTCCCAGAGTCACGTGTGAAGAAAGGACATTGTCCTTCTCCACAAAAGACGGTGTCCGTTTTGGTACCTCCTCCTCGCCACGCGAACCTCTGTTTTTTCTTCTAGTTTGCACCGGAAAAAAACATCTCCGCAAAACAAATGGCATGGGGAAACATCCATGACAGGGCTTCTTGATGCTTCTTGGCTGGGTCCCTTTTCCAAGCTTGAAAAAGGCTGGTCCATTCTCTCCATGCGCCACTCCCAAGGCTTGGAGCCCCGCCTTCTGTCCCAGGAAGGCACCCAACGCTTGAGAGAGTCCCACCGTGGTGGTCGACTTCCCTTCACCCAATGGGGTTGGGTTGATGCCACACACCACGACGTAGTGGCCTCGGAACCAAGCAAACGAATGCGGAAAGGCCCGCCTAATAGGCTCTTGGGAGGTGAGTTCTGTCTTTTCCATCCTCCCGCCGGTGAGCCTTTGGGTGAGCCGTGTGGTTGGATGCAAAAACTGCACTGCCACTTTTTGACAGAAACACGACGGTCTGTGTTTGGTGCATCTTCTAGGGGCCATTCGGCTTGTCCTTCAGCTTGCTCCAAATGTTCAGATTGATCTTGCCCTTGTAGGGGCCATAGGAGAAGACATCCTTACAGTGGCCAACAAAACCCCATCCGTCACGCATCGCAAATGGACCGTGTGAAACGTAAGTTGGCTTCGTTGGGCGGCTTTCTTGACATCACTAGCCGCCTCTCAGAAGCATTCTGGAAGCTAGTCATAGGGGGTGATGTTGTGGACCCGTCTTGAGTAGAAGCCTTCTTGTGGCATGCTGCAGAATGCTTCTCTTGTGAAAGTCAAGACCTACAGCCTTGAAGCAACAGTTCCGAAAAGTAAAGTGGCATCAAAGACCACGTTCGGAGTTCGGCCTCAAGCAGAAGCCTTCGAAAGCAAACGAAAATGGCTCATTCAGCGATGGCTCTTCCTCCTTCAGACCAAAAGCCCCCTTGAACACCTCCTTCACTGGCACGGGCTTCACCTTGCCAAAGGTAGAGACGAGATCCGATTCGCCGAGCTGTTTGCTGGAGGTCCTGAAAAGACCACCTTGAACATATATCCGCACGCACCTTTGTCACGTACCGGTACTATAGGGTAGCCTTCCGGGAAGACCAGGTTTTGTAGTGTAGAATCTTTCGTAAAACCAATGGTTCTTCAAACCTAAGAACCTAAGAACCATAAAAGCAATCATCAATCCTGGGCCTGGAATCCGAGGGGCCTAGGGTGCAGTCATGTCTGTAGCGACCAAAGGAAGGCAGCTCAAGGTAATCATCGTTGCCACTACTTGGTGAAGCCATTCCCTCTGGGGGTCCAGGAATGCCAACAAAGAGGGTGCGTCAACTGCATAAAAAGGGAGGTAAACATCCTGGAACTCGGATATGACCTCCGTTTTGATAGGAACTTCGACCATCTTTTTGGGTTGCTGGCCCCCCAAAATATGTTCTATCACAAGGTCAAGTGGTCCATTGGAGTCATGGTGACAGAACATTCAGGTTCGATTCCCATGTCCTTGTGACCGATCGTAGGTCGCTACGTCTGACGCACCCACGTCTGACCCACGTCCGCTCCGCTCCGCTCACTTCGATTTAGACGACCCGTTCGATGCGCGCGCGCGCGCGACACAATCGAAGAACGCCCTTTACACAATCAGACCTTTCCGCCACCCCCAGCACCGGCTTGGGACATCTCCAAAAAAAACCCAAAGCCGTCTCAAACCGAGCAAAGCCGTCACAGAAGAAACACACCAAACACAGCGCAGTGTTCACACACACCTTCCCCGCCCAACTCCCCACGTTCCCCGTTGCGTCCCCCAAGCGGCGGACTGGGCGATGTCAATGTCCGAGGGCACCGGCGAGACCGGCTTCACCGGCCGAGCCGTTGGACAGCCTGGGGGACCACCGGTTGGCCCAGTGGGAGACCACCGGTTGGCCCTCCAAAGCTTTCAGAGTCAGGATGCGGTCTCTGAAACAGGCCAGCTAGAGCTGGCTTCAACTGAAACATCTTCACCCAGATCGCGTCCCCCAGTTCACCCCACCAATCCCAACCACACCACCGATGTGGATCTCAAGCTGCCGCCAGTATTAGAGACAACCGTGACTTTCTTGTTCTGACAAACCTCATTTTGAGTTCTTTCTCAACCTCAAAGGCCTCACAAACGGTTGGTCGGTCACTTCCGTCTATTTCATTTGCCCCCCCAATTGCCCCCCAAAAAACGATGAACAACAGGTTTCCTCAACGAAATTGGACGCGACGCGGCCCACGCCGCCATTGCGCGTTTTTGCGGCCTGCTTTGTTTCGGCTCCAAAAGCCATCGCCTGAGCTGTGAAGCGAAGCCACACCGAAGAGGATGAAGGTCTGGTTTGTGATCTTAACTGATCCATCTTGCAAAGTCAAGTAAAATCTTCAAGCAAGATGGTAGACCATTCATGAACCCGAAAGAACCCCCCCAACATAACCATGGGTTGGTTTTCAGAAACATCTTTGGGAGAGTCAACATCTTAAATCATCTTAAGCACCCTGGAGTAAACATTCACTTGTCATCTTATTGGTGAACAGACTTCCCAACCTCTCAGAACACTTTTTAGTGTCATGTGGGGTAACGAGTTGAATGGGGTTCGTTACGGTTCGTTGCCAAGTCCTGCCTTTCCTCCCACTGCCAGGTTTCGTCTTCCGTTTGGGGTCAGGGCATTCAGGAGACCAGGACATTGTTGCAGTGACATTTTCAGGAGACCAGGACATCCTCTCGAGTTCACTCATTCGAGAACACGCTCTTTTTGGTCTTTCCTCTTTGATGATGCTCTTCTCCTCTGTCCAATTTAGTTTGCTTGTAGGTTGGAGGCCATCACTTGTAGGTTGGAGGCCATTCCTATTAGGTTGGAGGCCATTGCTATTAGGTTTCCTTTATTTTCGTTTCGTTATTCATTCCCTTTATCCTAGTAGCGAACATTGCTCTTAGTAGCGATGACAGGAGCCCCATTCGTTCCTCCCAGGCAGCACTGCTTCATCCCAAGGAACACTTCACCTCCCGTTCCGGCCGCAAGGACCACACCACCGGCGCGGCCGCCGCCGCCAACGGCCGGCACCACATAGGGAAGACGCCACGAGGAGGGAAGGCGCCACGAGGTCGGCCACGAGGGAGGTCGACCGGACGTGTCCGAAGATGAGTTCGCTTCTGAGGAACTCATGGAACTCATGATTCTTTTTCTTTTTTAAATCTGGTTTTCTATATGGAACTCATGTAACTAATCAAACTCATCTGGTTCCTGGGTCAGGGAATGTGGATGTTTGGACGTTGAACGAAGAACTCTTTTGACAGCCACAAGATGGATAGCATGGGGGGCGTGGGCCTGGCTGCTTGTTGGCTTTTCTACTTTGGCTGTTGCGCACAAAAGGTGCAGAGGTGTTGCATCTTCATGGTCCTGCAAGAATGGATGGCTGCGACCAAAAGATGCGTCATGGTCCAAACTCCTTATTGCAGCCGCGATGGTCATCTTTCCTTGCCAAGGGTTTGTGAAAAAGTTGTTTAAATATCCCAGAAGTTGTTTGCAAATCACCCTCCCCCCCCCGCAAGAAAAACGCCATACACACAGCCTTTTGACCATCGGAACCCAAGCACCGGCCTCGGGGCGGCTTTCGGTGGGCCACTTGCCCAAAGGATCCTTGCGCGGACCAAAGGGCCGCTTGGCCTGGCTGCGTTCGTTGAAGCTTCGCAGCTTCGCCAAGGCTGAGCTGAGGCTTGTCGGAGGGTGTTCTTTAGTTAGTTGATGGGCGTGTGGAAATGAAGCCGTGAGTGAAGGCTTTGGAGCATCCTACCAGTCAAGTTGAGGGTGTTCTTCTTGGGGACGAACGTCCAAATTGCCAGCGTGCTCTTGGTGAAGAGGGGCTGCAATAAACTGAGGAAAAGGGCGTGCTGTCACTAAAGCTGGATCTGCGATTGGAAGAACTGCGACCAAAACATCTTTTGAGATCTGGAGCTTAAACCTTTAAAGTATTAGTGCAGCTCTCACTAAAGTCCAGATTTTACTGGTTTCCATTCTGGTCTCAAACCTGCCGCTTTTACCCCTCGCAGCCCACAGTGATGCAGGTCTTGTGAATTGGGAACCCTTCAAATCGAGGTCAGAAGGGGTTTTTCATGTCTCGGGCAAGCTTCGCATCGGAAAAAAAAAACGGATTTCTTTATACAGCAACGACAAGAAAAGAACAGTGAAAGATCTCCAAGAAGACCCGCTTCTTGCTCCTCAACTTGAATCCTGCTAAGTCCTGCAGCTAAATCGCTACAATTGCTAAAATTAAAATCGATCAGAGCTCGAGGGAAAAGAACGCTGCACAGTCGAAAGCTTTGTCTCATGGGGAAGTAATCCTGCCATTGCGATTTAGTCAGAGGAGTGGGAACTCAACGTCTTCTTCAAACACAACCACATCAACATGAACTGTGCAACATGACAACACTTTGTCACAGCTCTCAGTCGTAGAAGTACAGAAGGCCATTCTCATGGCCTGCGCGCTTCTTTGCATAGGCAGGGGGTTCAAAACATCAACAGGGCTGTCACTTTTAGTACTGCAACAGCTCAAATACATCTCACATCTCAAACAAACCCTTGCAACTTCAAAACAGCTACAGAACACACTGAAGCCAAAAGAGACACCGGCTTTACATGGCTACACCATGGATTTGTCTGTGGTGGTCTTCCCTAAGACTTCGCCCGCCGATGCCTGAGAAGCTTCAGCGAATGCGTCGGACACCGCCAATTTGGATGCCGATCTGCCCATGCACCAGCCTGGGTGAAGACGTGAATGTACCCCTTTTCCTTTGTAAAACTGGGGCGTCCTACGTCTCATGGCACTCCTACGTCTCCAGGTGTGTTGGGTGTTCGGAGTTATTTCGGAAAACAAGGACTGCTCTGGTTGGAGTGGAAGAACAACTGCATACAAATGCACAGCCCGGCCTGTTGGAAGAACACCACTGCTTTTGACTCCTCACCTGAAACCAACCTAAATACCACGCTGTATGGCTGTATGCAAATGGTCCTCTGGAATACCAATCACCCCCCTTGGAGTGGCGCTTTCCGGGTGGGATCGCACTCGTGCCGAAGTAGGATCGCCACCCAATGAATGCGCAGTGGAGCAGTGGAGGGCAGGTGAAGGCAGGCGAACCATACACTTTGAGTCAAGGTGAAGCAGTGCACAACATGTTCAAGGCAGCGTTTTTCAGTGGTCCTTCGGTGAGTGTCGAAGGACACTCTCTCGGGTGGATAAAGCTCCAAATCCCTTCGAACCATCGATGGCAGTCCACCCAGTGTCTACCAGGTGATGAACGCCTTGAACGAGCAGAATTTCCACCAAACGCATGCGATGGGACGGAGGCGACTGACTCCTCTCGTGGGATTCCTTTTTATGTAGACTTTTTTTCTGTACCCCCAAGCTAAGCCTGAAGAGGGTTTACTATCCATGTCTGCCTTTTTCTTCATCAACAGTCTATGTGTACATGTGTGTGCACAAAAATAGGCTCAACCCCCCATTTGAACCCCTGGAAGAAGGGACATATACAGACCCAAAATACCCATTAAAATACCATTGGTTGAGAGAGGTTCCCCCCAAATAAAAAGCAGCTCAATCTCAAACAATCGCATCACCCAATGCACCAGCCTGGGTGAAGACGGGAAGACTTTCGCGAAACACAAATCTGAATCAAAACAATCGCATCACCCAATATACATTATCCACACAACTTCTTTGGCTCCCAGCCCTGCGGAGATTCTCGGCACCCCAGCCCTGCGGCGGTGGGCAGTTGCACCGATGCCACCTGAGCTCTCTTGAACATCCGGCGGGACCCCAAATGAAAAACCGATGGCAGGACGGAAGGAGGTGTGAGAAGTGGATGATCGTATCGTATCTGTTCAACCAGATTGAGTCCTTCGGTCGTACTTTCAATGCCTTATCACCTTATTCTTCTTTCCGCACCCCCCAAAAATGGCCTGACCGAGATGTCTTTCTCACAGATTTCTCAAGTCCTTCCAGTGAGCTTTGCATTCCACCGCCCCATGCTTCCGCTCTTCGCTGGGAACAGGAACCATGCATCAACGGCAAGAATCCTGATACTCTCCCCATGTGACCCACACCCTCTCTTTCTAGCAATTCTAGGTTGGAGGCCATCGCTCTTGTTCCTTCTGTGGCCCACACGGGAGTTGCCCCCACCTTGGCCCGAGCTTTCTCATGGAACACACGGGCAAGTTCAGCGGAACATGCGGAGAAGCTCCGAGCTCTGGGCACTGCTCCGCTGCACCGTTGCGACCTGCAGGGCTCGAGGATGCTGCGCTGCAGACACACAAGGGCATTACTAGTAGCTAAGAAGCTACTATAGTAGCCAGTTGCTAGTAGTAGTAGTAGTAGTAGTAGTAGTAGTAGTAGTAGTAGTAGTA